TAATAATTGCTAGGCTGGCTTTGCAACTTACTGTTCTACTTACTTAAAATGTTTAGTTGAGAGGGCGATGCGCTATGCAGTCTCCTCAACTCTCCAGGTATTCATGGGTGACTAATGGTGTTGAGTTTCTGTTTGTTTGATGAATGGTCTTTTTCATTTTTGTCAACAGGCATGAAAGTCCGGCTTCTACATAATGACGACTCGCGGTCCCCAGTTTGATGCCATCTAATTAGGGGAATGTTGTCTCCTGGCTGTAGCAGTTTTGTACTCGGTCTTTGGTGACTGCTTGGTTTATTTTTATTTCTTCGTTTTGCGTTATGTTTCGACTAACATGAGTCCTGGTATTGTTTTGGGCGCACCTAAAGTGCAGTTTAAATAAATAAATAAATAAATAAATAAATAAATAAATAAATAAATCATCATTTATGGTATACGAAGTTATTACGCTCGGCTATAAAGCCATGTCGCTTGAGATGGGAAACGTGATCACTAAGATTTCGACTTTTACAAGTAGTGTGGACCTTCAAACGAAGTTCGTAATACACTCTTTGAGGTATTTTAGAAAAGAGGGAACGAGAATAAATTTCCCAACCAGCTGTGCATGATAATAAGATTTATAATTTCTCGAACAGAGTCAGAAGCGACGCTTATTACTTTGTATTTCTCTGTTTACCTGTTGCTGAACGTGGCCTTTTGTTGAGGTATCGAAATTACGATTCAACGGAAAATCTTCTCTTTGCTGTCTTCAGGACAAGAACGGATTCAAATGAGGACGAAGCACTGGACGAGATCACAGCAGATTTACTAGATAACGATTCATATTTGAGAAATTTCTTCATGAGGCTTCACCTTGAGCGTCAATAGAGATTATTTCAAGTATTTTGGATGTCATCCATTGTTTTGGATGTTTCCGTTCAGATAATTTAATAGTGAAATTATAAAGCAATGCAGAGCTTCTGAATAAATGAACTTCTAGGAAGTTGAGATAACTGCATTTACTGGTGGAGTGATAATAAAATCGTTGCAGCATTGATGTTATCGGATCTTATAGTATATGGTATTTGATAACCGTTCCTTCATTATAAGTCTTTACAAATGTCGTCCTGTTGTAGCGCTCATAGCCAAGAGTTCCTGCATGAACCTCTTAATACTGTTATTACCGTATTAATCAATGCACATTTATTGAATATTTGTCCAAGTAACATGTTTAGCAGACGAAGCAAGTCGTTGCTAATCAGAATTTAGGACATCGACATGGATTGCAGCACGCATTCTTAATTCAATGTTAGCAGCACCACTGGATCCACCACAGGCTGCTTACTCAGCTACCCACCGTTATTAATCACAAACGGTTGCTGAAATGTTTGCGTGGCGCTACTTTGAACGAATATCTGGATTCAGCTGTTGAGCGATGTATTGTCTTTTCTTTGATATGAAGCTGCCCTTGACTCCAGGTTCATGATTTCGGATGTGGGAAACCTTCTTGAATATTACGTTTCACATAGTAATAGCCATAGATAAGAGTCCTGGCTCTAAAAGGTCGTAAATTCTGCTAAAACACGATGATCACGATGGCTGGAAGGCGGCACGGTTTTGTAGCGTTATTGGACATCGTATCACGCTGGAGGTCTGATCAAGACCACCCCAGCAAATGGTGCTCTCACTGACGCCATGGAAGCCGCGCTGCCCTCTAGCCATTGTGATTAGTGCCTTAAGAAAATAGGCTGTTTTCAACCACTGTGCGATGCTAACACTTTTATTGCCTTTGTAGCATCTCTAGTCTTTTTGGGATCTCTAACGACAATGTACGAACGAATACTAGATGAGGGAGAAGTTGCAAGAGACATTGTCGATGCCATTCGTGCTACCACCGATGCGCCACTGTACGCGTGTATTGACGCGGCCAGAAGCTGTATCGTAATAGGTAATGCGCCATTCTACATGTAAGTTTTTCAGTTTATTAGTTTATCGTTTTACTGAAAGGGGAAAGCTCAATCGGGTTTTATTGTTGCCTGAAACCTCGAGCTCGATCTATTTCTTGATAGTTTTACACTAGAAAGATCCATAATCAAGCAATTAGTTGGCGCGTATCGGTGTGAATGCAAAAAACTCAATATATGAACAGAGATTATTTCGGTCTGTGTAGCCACAAGATAGATGTGACTCAAGTAGGCATGGTCCGCCCATGCGGACTTCGCAAGTTAATACCCGGCTCCATTATCCCTTGTTGTGTCCAGAGAGGAGACGGAGTTAGAGGAAGAGGTAGAAATGAAAGATGTATTTCCTTGTTTCATTTGTCCTTTCTGCACACGGGAAAGTCACTAACTCTTGATCGAGTCCGCTCACCTCAACTCTGCCCACTGAACAGCACACATGAATAAAAAATTTTCCCGCCTGCCCTCAAACTGGCGTATCCATAGAACTGTGTAAGTGCAGCTTTGGCAGGCCGAACAGCACTTGTCATCTCATGCTACGAATGAATTTGCAAATACAAGGAAGATAAATCGCCAGCACATTGCTACTCCAGACGATCGCTTCTCAGAAGGACTAAAAAGGCAGAGTCCGTGAATATATTGTATGTGCGAACGATTGCTATGATTATCGCCTCCTCTCTCAAATAAAGGGACAGTTGGCTATGATATTCAGTGAGAAAGACGAGGTATGAGTATTGACTCAACGGCATTGTGTTGCTGCATTATGCTAATATGAATCTGCCTTAAATTAAGCTCAGCTTCTCAAGTGGAGCAAGATGACAACATTCTCATTCAAATACTCGGGCTTTTCCGACTGCGTGTCATCATGGAGTCTGCAATAGTCCCAGTTCGGTGAAAGTTATCTCACTATTTGTTATTACTCACGCGAAAGGATTCAGGGTAGTCATCGAACTGATCACAGCAGATGATTTCGAATGGCTGAGTCATCTCATTAATGTATATCAAATGGTTCGTGGAACATTACTGAATTGTGTCATAGCTCGTATGCCTAAATATCGTTGTTGCTTCATTCAGGATCAGAACGAAAGTGTCCGCTTGGAAGGCTGTGTTGTATCCTCATCTGTTGATCCTGAATGAAGCAACAACGACATTTAGGCATACGAGCTGCGACACAATTCAATATTGTTCCACAAACCATTTGATACACATTAATGAGATGACTCAGCCATTCGAAATCATCTGCTGTGATCAGCTCCATGACTACTCCTGAATCGGTCTTCGTCTGCAAGTAATAACAAAAGTGAGGAAATTATTTCCCAAGCTGGGACATTACAGACACCATACCACGCAGTCGGAAAACGCTCGAAGGTATTTGATGAGAATGTTGTCATCCTGCTCACTGGAGAAGCTGAGCTTAATTCAAGGCAGATTCATATTAGCATAATGCAGCAACACAATGCCGTTGAGTCAATACTCATACCTCGTCTTTCTCACTGAATATCATAGCCAACTGTCCCTTTATTTGAGAGAGGAGACGATAATCATAGCAATCGTTCGCACATACAATATATTCACGGACTGCTTTTTGTATTCGTGAGAAAGACTCGTCTCTGGAACGATGTGTGTGACTGTCTTCCTTGTATTTGCAGATTCATTCGTAGCTAAGATAATAAAAAGTGCTGTTCGGCCTGCCAAAGCTGTACTATAAAGACCTATGGATATGCCAGTTTGAGGGCAGGCGGAGGAAAAAAAAACTTTGTTCATGTGTTCTGTCCAATGGGCGGAGTTGGAGGTGGAGCGGGGCTCAACTAACGCGTCGCAGTTCACGCGCGAGAAAGAAACAAAGTGAAAAGTATATTTTTCTTCCTCGCCTTTCATCTTCCTCCCTATGCACAACAGTGGGCATGTTAAGAAGCAGGGTATACGAAGTTGGCGAAGTCCGCATAGGCGGATCATACTAGAGTCAGACTTATCTTGTGGCTATGCAGACCGAAATAACCTGTGTTCATGGTTGGGATTTGTGCATTCACGCTATACGAGCCATCTAGCTGCCTGATTATCCATCTTTCTCCGCAAAACCACCAAGAAGTAGAATCTTATTTACAGAGCTTGAGGGTCAGCCGACAATAAAATTAGATTGAGCTTTTCCCCTCTCAGCGAAATGCTATTTAATAGTCGTAAAAACTCACTGTATGAATGGCGCCATCACAGTCATACAGCTTCTGGCCGCGTCAATACACGCGTACAGTGGCGCATCGGTGGTAGCACGAATGGCATCGACAATGTCTCTTGCAACTTCTCCCTCATCTAGTATTCGTTCGTACATTGTCGTTAGAGATCCCAAAAAGACTAGAGGTGCTACAAAGGCAATAAAAGTGTTAGCATGACGAAAATAGACGAAAACAGCCTATTTTCTAAAAGCTCTGGTCACATGGCTCAAGTTCGGTGAGGTTTCACTGACGTCATTGAGCACCAATTGATGGGAGTGATCTCAATCACACCCTCAGCGTGACACGACGTCCAATGACACCATCGAAACCGTGCCGCCCTTCAGCCATCGTGATCACTTGCTTCAAAGTAGCCAATTAACAGACGCTCATAGAGCAGAATATTCTACGTAAAACCTAATTATCATGGTTCCCACACCAAGGTATGATCTGAAGTCAAGTCAAATAAAGGAAGGCACAACATCCCAAGCATTGAAACCCGCAATTGCTTCAAAATTAGCGCCACCACAAATTTCAGTAACCTTTTGTGATTAAAAAAGAGTGCGGTTGGCTGAAGGTAAGCCGCCTATAGTGGGTCCAGCTGGTGCTGCTAACATTGAATATTCAAGGAATGCGTGCTGCAATCCATGTCGATGCCCTAATTTCTGATTAGCAACGACTTGCTTCGTCTGCTAAACTTGTTACTTGACAAATATTCAATAAATATGCATTGATTAATACGGTAATAACAGTATCAAGAGGTTACATGCAGGATTTGCTGTGAGCGATACAACAGGACATTTGTAAAGACTTATAATGAAGGAACGGTTATCAAATACCATATACTAAGATCGACATCAATGCTGCAACGATTTATTATCACTCCCACCAGTAAATGCAGTTATCTCAACTTCCTAGAAGTTCATTTATTCAGAAGCTCTGCATTGCTTTATAATTTCACTATTAAATTATCTGAACGGAAACATCCAAAACAATGGATGACATCCAAATACTTTTTGAAATAATCTCTATTGACGCTCAAGGTGAAGCCTCATGAAGAAATTTCTCAAATATGAATCGTTATCTAGTAAATCTGCTGTGATCTCGTCCAGTGCTTCGTCCTCATTTGAATCCGTTCTTGTCCTGAAACAGCAAATATCCTACTTACTATAAAGCGCTTCGTCTGTCGTCTGTCTGTCGTTCTGTATGTCTGTCACGAAATTCCCTAGCTCCTCGGATCCCGCCTGGAGGGACCGGGTCAAGTGTGGAATGGGTGGGCAAGGTCTCACGTAATACAAAACACACATCAGCTAAGCGGAGCCCCGCCCACAGAGGGCGTGGCGTGCGTCGAAATGAATTGTACCGAAGACCAAGATTTCGATTTCAGTGACAAAACGACCTCGAAACTGGGCCAAAAAGTGGGTAAAGGTGTGCATTGGTAAGTCACATCGAATTAGGGAGACCCACCCCCGGTGGGCGGGGCGTTCTCTAAAAAAGCAGTGCTTTATGAAAAATTTCATAACTCGGTTGGGAGAAAGCCTACAGAGCAGAAAACAATTTGGTGTAAGGGAGCAATGTCTAAGGTGTTTCCTGCATACATGACGTGGGCGGAGGCCGCCCAGAATGGGCGGGGCGCGCTCTGAAGTGTACAGCATTTTCTACAAGCCCTCATAATTCGGGTCGGGGAAGTCTTAAAGAGCCGGAAAAAGGTGGATAGAGGTGTATGGAGGAGTGGAGGCCAGCTGTCATGGTGGGCGGGGCTTGACCAAAGTGGGCGGAGTTTGCGACGAAAATTCATAACTCGGCTCCAAGAAGTCCCGGAGGCCGGGAAAAAGGTGGATGGAGGTGGGTGGAGGAGTGGAGGCCAGCTGTCATCGGTGGGCGGGGCTTGACAAAGTGGGCGGAGTTTGCGACGAAAATTCATAACTCGGCTCCAAGAGTCCTAGAGAATTGGGGAACACGGGTTAGAGGTTGGTGGGGCGGTAGTGATCAGAGTTTTCCCCGAAGTTATAATTCGGTTCCAATTAGTCCTGGAGACCGGGAAAAGGTGGATCGAGTCCATCAACGAAAAGTTTTCAACAGCCACAGGCGTGCATCCGAAAAGAGGAGCTATCCACGAAACATTACGACTTGGTTCCAAGAAGTTGAAAACTAGGAAAGGAAAAAGTAGATAGGTCCGACAATCGAAAAGAGGCGAACAGGTAATGGTGGGTGGGCATAAGCCAAAGAGGGCGGGATTTGGCACAAACCCACTATAAAAATATGATGGCCCTGCTTTATAAAATTGCAGTCCCGTGTGATGCAGGCG